TTTTTTTTTTTAATACTCCAATTACTTATTTCCTGAAGTTATTTTCGTGCCAAATTTCGTGGAAGTCTCATGAGTGGTTCTCAAGAAATAGGCATATTTCCTAGAAAGCAATTTTCCATTCAATCGGATTTTTTTTTACTTAAGGAGGCGAAATACGAGATACAAAAACCCTCAACTTGGCGCGCAAAATTGTCTCGTTGCAAGTTTTGGTCGATGTTTCTCGTTTTTCACCTTGCGTGATCAACTTGTCGCGCAACAAAAACATTTGTTGCAGGTTGAGGAAATTTGTTGCGAAAAGTAGAGCGCGGGTCAACTTTGAGCAACAAATTTTAGCTTTGTTGCTCGTTTTTCATCAAACTCGCAACTTGTCACGCAACAACTTCGTTCGTGTTCGTATCTGATTGGCTGGTAGAAATTACAAGGTCAGGTCAGAGCAAGTGCCTGAGGTAAACAAACATTGCGGATGTTTCGGCGGCAAAATCTTTCCCCTAAAGTAATAGTCCTACAACCCTTCAAGAGAAGAATATTTTATTAGGTAAAACGCTTAGTATAGGTAACTGCATGGGGCCGAGTAACATTAAGGATTCATATCACTTGTATTTTCAGAAGTTGCTGAAATTCCCCGATCTTGTGAGAGGAGAAAAAAATTTCGGTAGCCCTTCTCGTCTTCAAGCGTTATCTCCTTTACAAGCTGAATAATTAAGACATGAATAATTAAGACATGCATGAGGCGTCTCTAAGGAGCTTTTGAATTCTTATTAAAATGTGGGACTAGACTTCCGAGTTGCGTGCAGAGATCGCGTGACTTTTCTTTGCGCCCCTAGTCTATGGTCAGCTGTATCCAAACGTAATCAAACATGGCGGCTGTTGTTCCAGCTATGGAAATCGAAAGTACTTCACGATTGAAACAACTCTTCCAAGATGTATCTTTAAATTTTAATCCGACAGAATCAGAAACTGTTGTGCAGCTTTTGAAGAAGAACTATGGAGGAAAATTCAACTCGCTGGATAATCAAGACTTGTTGTCCGGTTTACAACTTCTTGAGAAGTATGGATATGTCTCTGACCACAAACTCACGTTTATCGAAAAGTTTGTCGCTCCAAAATGCAGAAAAGAAGGAAGCATTCATGCAGCTGTTAATAAATATAAAGCCTCCTATCTGACTAAAGCTGATCCGGAAATGGACTTCGTCGGTAGGAAGGATGAAATTCAGAAAATTAGCAAAATGCTTACGGCAAAAACTTCAATTATAAATTTGTTTGGGTCCGCCGGTGTTGGAAAGACAAGACTTGCGGAAGAAGTTTGTTCAAAATGGCGGGGACAGCATTTTGTCTTCGATCTTAGAGATGCAAAAGATATGATTGCGATTTATCTCAGAATTATGAATTCCCTGAAAATGGCTGGTCGTGTTGGTTCTGTTGATCTGAATTATGTTGTTACAAGAATTCACGACGAGATTCGACCGTTGACCTCTAAAGATCGTCCTGTTCTGTTTTTGCTTGATAATTTAGAAGAGCAGTTAGTTTCAGGACAAGGAGGATTAGAGGAGAGGAAAAAGCTGAATAATTTTTTAAAATTACTCACGCGATTGGATGAAGGAAACAAACAGAAAACACTAAAACTTCTATTAACATCAAGGACTCAATTGAAAGATAACCAAGTAGTGAAAAACTATGAGGTGATGTCCTTTGACCATTCGTTTTCAGAGAAACTCCTTTTTCACAAAGGAAGGTTTGATGTTAAAGAGCATCAAAAAGAAAAACTAATCAGAATCTCAAATGGAGCTCCACTTATTCTGAAAGGTCTTGCTGCTATTTTCCAACATGAACGAAAAACTGTGGATGATTTTCTTGGTAATGTTCATGTAGGGGAAGTTTCCACTTTGGAAAGGTCAAAAGTTAGAGACAATGGCATAGAAAAAACAATTAGATTTGAAGAAGATGGAATTGATGAGAGGCAGTTGTATACAATCAGAGAAATGTTTGACACCCTGCCAACAGACATCTTAAAGGTGTCTGCAGTATCAGTTTCTTTATTTCATGGCCCCTTTAAAGAAGCTGATGCTGCTAAAGTCCTTGATATCAGCCAATCAGAAGCATTTTTACAGCTTGAGGGACTTGTAGCAAGTGGAATTCTTTCTGAAGTTGATGAAAATGTAACTGCAGAGAAGAAGGACAACAGCGCACAGTATGACATTCACCCACTTTTGAAGAAGTATGCCGACAGTCTTAAGGCTGATAAAACCTTCCAAACCCCTTACACAGAGGCAAAGGCACGTTTTCATGAACTCTTCATGTCCAGGATAGAGAAAATTGCTAAACTCATAGATCTAGACTATGTCAGAGCATTTACCTTATTTGAGAAAAACAGAGGAAATTATGAGTTTGCAATTGACATCTCCCTACAGCCAGAATTTTTCAGATTACCAGGCGAATTCCGTGAGAATGCTTTGATTGCGTCACTTTTCTGTGCAATGGTGACTGAATGCAAGCTCCTAAACCTGTTTCATTCTTGGGCTGAGATGTGTGAAGATGATGGAAAAACTGGTGAGTGTTCCTGTGTGTGCAATTCTCATGATTCACACAACCATAATTATAGATCCTTTTGAGTGTGTATCCTGGTTTGCATTGAATTGCTGTTGCATTTCAGCCCATGTGCTGGCATGGCACTCTGCAGAATTTAATTATTTTCAAATTCTTGAACATATTAGAGTGATAAAATGAAAGTTTACTTGAAATTATCAGGAGAATTATCCGGACACCTCTGAAATTGAGAAAAAGATAGAGAAACAAAGTATTTCCAGAAGTGCTGATGCATAAATTTTCTCAGGCTATCACTGTTGAACAGGAGTTAATACTTTTTCTGTATGGATAGTCATTGAAAACAAAATAGGAAAAAAAAGACTATGTGAAGGAAATTAATTGTTGACTCAAAATCAAAATTTTTGAAGATCTGCAGACATTGCAATTCAGTAGAACAATCTACCTATATAGCCACTATTTTGTGCAAAGCTATGTTCCCATATTTCTCCTTGGATATTTTCTACATTTCTGTCAGAGCTCACAGCTTTCCTTGAGTGTTGCTCTTGAAAAAATGTTTTCTTCTTGGAACAGATATTATGTCTGCAGACAAATATTACATGACTTGTACAGATATTTGTGGTGGTATAAAATTATATATCTCTATCAGCAGCCCTTAAATCAAGGGCTGCTGAATTGAAAATAAAAAAAAAATGTTTCTTCGGTGATACAAGGAATACATCGTTTTTTTAAATAAGTTGGTCTGTAAATTGGCATTGAACAGGCTTTCAGATAGTAGAGATGTATGATGTGGAGTTTAGTATAATTGTGTTTTTTTTTTTATATTCTATGATGCTTGACTGTGATTTAAAGCAGTTAAAAGTTATACATACTTGTACATACATACATATATACATTTGTTGCGAAAAGTAGAGCGCGGGTCAACTTTGAGCAACAAATTTTAGCTTTGTTGCTCGTTTTTCATCAAACTCGCAACTTGTCACGCAACAACTTCGTTCG